TGGCCTTCAGCCGCTCTATAAGTCCTTCCTTTGGTTTGGAGTGCCATTTGCACTCGTTCGGTGAAGCTCTAAAGGCCAGCTGCGGCCAATAGCATTAGAGTAGTCAGAAAAAATCTTTAGAGGAAGTATGAAAGTGGCACCGGTGTCAGAGAGGTTGAAGAGTAATCGTCTATCATGGTATGGACATGTAATGCGTAGGAACGAGGATAATATCTTAAGAAAGATGTTACAAATGAATGTGGATGGTTATAAGGGCAGAGGAAGGCCAAAAAAGAGATGGATGGACTGTATGAAAGATGATATGGTGAGAAAGGGAGTAAATAACGCGATGACTGCGAACAGTGATGAATGGAAGCGAATAACATATTGCGCCGACCCCAAATAAATGGGATAAGGAAGAAGCAGATGATGAGTCAGAAAAAATCTTTGTTCAGATACCTAGGTTTCTACCATGGGAATAACATCATATCCTCTGTACATTTTAATTAGATACAGATTAAGTTTAATTCCTTGTCGTTTAAGGCTCAGTTTTCCTTGAGACAATTTGTAAATTATCCTAAGATTATCTCGTCACTAGGTCTTATCATATATTTGAGCGTTCAAGTTCATTATTGAAGGATTATTAGCTATGTATTTAACAACCACTGCATTGGTTTTGAGGGCAGCTGCGTAAGAATTTAGCATTGGAATAGATTATAGTGGGGTTGAGATAATTTCGATTTATTATAATAATGAAATAATTGACAGCATCGATGGTTAGCGGTTTAGCATACCGCCTTACTTGACAATGGTCGCGGGTTCGATTCCTCGCACGGCACAAACATTTGTATTCATGGGTGTGATTGTTTGTATCGGTCTGGGTGTTTTATATGTATAATATGTATGTATTTACGAAAAAATATATCTATGTATTTGTATCAGTTACCTCATACCCATTACATTCGTTTTACTTTGCTTAACTTGGATCTAGATGGCGCTGTGTGAATTGTCTTGAAATTATTATTATAGAAATACATAATGTACATAGAAAGTACCATTACAAACTATGATAATTATGATTACAAATGTTTGTATAATGGAGGAAATTGAACCCGAGACCATCGGTAGCAAGACACTAATATTAAATAGACATAAAGAAATATATATTATCTATATATTAGTATTTGTATATGTAGGAAACAATAAAAAAATACAATACAAAAAAACTGTATTTTTATTTTTTATTTATAATTAACTAGCGAGTAGCTAGTTAATTATAAATAAAAAATATATTGCCCCGGCTTCGCACGGGTGTAAATGTATTATATACATAAACCTTCCTCTAGAATCACTCTATCTATTAAAAAAACCGCTTTAAAATACGTTGTGTAGTTCTAAAGATTTAAGTATACATAGGGACAGACAGCGACAGCGACTTTATTTTATACTATGTAATGGTTCTCGGTACTACAACTACAATATTTACGTCGTCGAGGCCTTAAAAAATCACGTGACATATTACTTGACCGGAAACAATGTGGTTGTACGGTGACATTGATTGATCATGGCTGTCCTTGGTTAACCCTTACTGTCTAACAAGACCTTGTAATGTCTCACCATGTAAGGAAATACTGCCTTAAAAATCCTTTAACAAAATGTACTAGTAGATATTACAAAGCCATGCTTTTATATGAGAATATTTTTTTATTAATTTAGGGACTTCCGTTTTTGGTATATCAGTCCCATAGTACCTTAATCTAATAAAAAATGTATATTTAGCCAAAAGTATAACATTTGTATAAAAAAAATTATCACCGTCGATCTAGTCCCAAGCTAAGCAGAGCTTGTAACTGATATAAAAATTTATATACATTGTTTTTGTTAATAACTACATCACAACTTATGATGAGTGATAATCGTCATGAACGGCGTTTTCACCATCATATTATCATGTGACGCCTGTGATACGATGCCGTTCAACCGTTCCCATTCCGGAGAACTAATATGTCATACTCGTTATTCTGTAATTTCACTGCTTTTTCTCACTCGACGATAGAAATACAGCTAAGAAAGCAACCTGCTTGGCGGTAAATATACATAGGTGAGACTGGGAACTCTCACTTTTGACTTTTTACTTCTACCTCAATCGAACTTAACATGCCAAATGTAATTTATTAACATTTTCGTTATACAATACGACTCAGTATGACAAACAATAAATTACTAATCCTACAAAAGTGGTAATCATCGCCCATTAACGTGACTGATGACATAATAGCAAAATAATATTTGCTCTCGTAACGACTGTGAAGCATGTAATAATGTAGTCAGTACACAGCCTTGCCCCAATTCTGGGTACACCCCATTGTCTGAATAAGACGCATTGTTTATACCAGTATTATTATTATGTAAATTGATCTTAAATCATCACAAGGACAGATAATATTATCGGGAATTTGTCTGACATTATTACTATTGTGCGCCTTAGAAAATAGAATAGCAAAGTGTGTCGCGTAGTTAAAGTTGTCTATGCAGATTTTATTAGGAGAAAATATTCTTGATTCGAATATAATATTAATATAATTTTATGTATATTACGTCAATTATTCAATTACTTAACAAGTACAATAAATTTATAGTGTATTTGTGAATGAAGTTCATTAGTTTTTAGAGACCTGCTGAACATAAAATAATTGTTCTCAATTCGAATTACAATCTTACTTTTATACATATAAGTACTTATTGTGTTGTTACTTAATATAATTTATTTTAAATACATTCAAAGACGTTTATTTTGTGAGTAGGCATTGTTTTGTCCATTCAAGAAGCACCGTTTTCCGGCCGATAGGAATCAACGCAGTCAAGGAAGTAAAAGCATTAACAGAACTAAGACATCTAAGCAAATAATACCTCAATTCAACACTAGATGTCGCTAAAACAGAATTATATTAAAACCTTGAGTAAGATTGAAAATATTTTTTAGCGCGAAACTCCTATAATTATTACAATTAAAGTGAATTGTTATAATTATATCGCAGTTAAAAAAATTACAAATAATAGTAATTGTTTTGGTAAATACTCCTATCTTATAATTCTTTGTAAGTTAATATGTTTGTTAAGTACTTTTATTCTGAATCCGTCAGAAATTTTTTTAATAGATTTTCAACCGAATTTAAAAAGGAAAATCTTTAAAATCTAAGTTTTTATTAGTATAGGAAGTGAGGAATTGTATAGGAATTTGAAATGAAATTATGTAATATACTTAATTATATTTATTCGTAAAACATAGAATATCCTAAATGATTGGAACTGCATAAAGTTTTAAACGGTACTAATAATTAAAAATCATAGTAGATTATCGTTTGTAAGAGATTTTTAATATATATGATATTTATTTATTTTAAAATTAATAATTATTATCTATTATAAGAGCTTAGGTATTTATTTTTCAATAGGAAACATACTGAAATTTAATGGAAGTAGAAAACAGCATAGATTAACATTTTTTTTAATTATATTTATACCTACTTTAAGATTTCTATGTATACTTTAGGCAATGAAAATCAATCATTAAAATAGACACTCTGTAAAATACAGAACAAAAAGGTAGACAGCTAGTTTTTTTTTATTTATTTCTTCTGTGCTATAAACAGTTAGTTCAGAAATGACAGTCAACAGTAAGCAGGTGGTAGGTCTGCGTGACCGTTATATGGCACTGAGCGGGCAATGCAGCGGTTTCCAACTAGTTTTCAATACGTTCCATATTTCTAATACTCTCTAATTTGTGGAAAAGTTACGTTTCTTTTATATTGTATTATATATTATACATTATAAAAAGGGACTTATTAATGAACATACAGACATCCGTATAATTCGTTTAAACCTGGGCTCAGTTTATCAGATATGTCAATCGGACGGTTTTTTATAGCATAGGGTACAAACGAGCTTGTGGCTCACCTGATGGTAAGTCGTTACCGCCACCCATGAGCAACGACAACACCAAGGGAACAGTTAAAAAAATTGCAAGTGTGTTGCCAGCCTTTTAAGAGGGAATAAGCTATAGTTTTGAAGTTTTCAATATCATATCGGTTCAGAAATACCATTGCTATAAGGTAATAAGCAATAGTTGTGCGTGTCAAAAAAGTTTCTGGAAAAACGAGACCGCCGTTCAACCAGATTATCAGAATGATATTTCAGTTTCTGGTCGGTGGTACGATGGTGAAACACAGTAGCTGGTATTAATCCGAACAATTCCGTAGAATACTCTCCGTGTTATATGCGGTAGAAAATACACAGAGATGCAATGTCAAACGGTTAAGTCGGCGCGGCTCGTCCGGTTTGAAACTGATAATGTGAGGCCAGGTTAAAACATACATTAACATACCTACTGCAATATCAATTATGTATCACAGACATTGTTAATTTAACTATTAAACGGGAGAACGGGTTGTCAGTAATGTGGGGCAAGATAGATTGTTATCTTGTTAGGTTGACCTTTGTATTCCCCAGGATAGCATTGTTATAAATTTTGGGATCTTGCCATAATGGGCTAAACACACTGTGGAGGACCGTCGTTTATCCAGATGATCAGGATGCTATTTCAGTTTCTGGTCGGTGGTACGATGGTGAAACTCAGTAGTTGGTATTAATCCGAACAATTCCGTAGAATATTCTCCGCGATATGTGCACAAATGATGAGAATCCAATGTCAAACGGTTAAGTCGGCGCGGCTCGTCCGGTTTGAAACTGATAATGTGAGGCCAGGTTAAAACATACATTAACATAGTTAATTTTAAACTTTCGTGTTTAATATACATTATTTATATTATTAACCGGGTCTTAACACGAATAATTTTATGGCAAATAAAGGTATTTACCTCTCTCGACGTTTCGACTAGGTTGCACTAGCCGTGGTCACGAGCTGACTGGAGTAACAGCGATGTCAATGTAGAATCTACATTGAATTTGAATCTACATTTATATATTTAATAATTTAAATAATGTATACATTAACATACCTACTGCAATATCAATTATGTATCACAGATATGGTTAATTTAACTATTAAACGGGGGAACGGGTTGTTAGTGATGTGGACTCCATTGCTAGAATTTGGTCTTGTCAGGTTGACCTTCGATTCCCCAGGATACCATTGTTATAAATTTTGGGAATTTGCCACTATGGGCCAGCTAAGATTTTCTTTCCGTCTTTTAAATTATACCTAATGACTTTACTTATAAGCTAATTAAGTACGTTAAATCACTAAAGTTCCGTTCGGATATTACAGATCTTGTAGTACTCCTGTTCAGGTAGAAGAAATTCCTTAGTAATCTCTTCAAACTTGCTAAAATCGCAGTAATCATCAGATTCGCAGCCTTCGAAGTGTAGGAGTTTGGCGGTCGTTTCTCCAGCTTGTGGTAAGTAAACAGGCTGCAAAGGACATACAGTTATACAAACAACTAAACAGAATCTTAATTACAATTTAGTTATATCTTATCTTAATAATATAATATTATAAACGCGAAAGTTTGTGAGTATAATGTTACTTTCACGCAATAACTACGGAACAGATTTGGATGTAACTTTACAGTAATATAGCTTGTATATCAGAATAACACATAAGCTATTTTGGCTAGAAAAAAATCCCTCTTTTGGGATAAGCCCGCCATCGCACAACTTACATTTCAAGATCGTTGTAACCTTAGTTATTTTAAATGAATTTGCTGTACAATAAAGTATTACAAACAAACAAATGCTTACCAGGACGCTCAAATCTCCTTTGCTCCTAGATTTGTATAATTCCAACGCGAATATAGCACCATACTCCGGGATGCTGTAGTTGGTCTTCACTTTGGAGACACGCATGAAAGCACCAATGTTGAAGTCATGAGATGAGAACAATCTCAACCTTTTTGGTACCTTTGTCCCTGCTGATATATCTTTACCTGCTTCGATGAACATGCTTAGCAGTACACCTGGAATTTAGATTATAAGATAGAGTATTTTTTCAACTTGTTAGTGGCAGTTTGTCCACCGAAAGTAGATTTTTTTTGTTTGTGTTGTTTGGGCTATTGTCAGGTACTTAGACCTGTAATACTGCGACCTACATAGATCTATTGTGCACGCCCTTTTTCAGAGTTCGCTACCTAGACCCGTCAGGGACAAGTATTGAAGAATATTCTTAGGAGCGATGGTTTTTATCTCCTCAGGGTAAAGTGTAAACTTTCTAAAGGAGATATTACGTTTATGAATGAGTGGGCTACAACCACATAAGATGTGTAGTAGCGTTTCTTCTTCTGTTTCGCAAAATGTGCAGATTTTTGTTCTGAAAAGTTGATTTTCCACGTACACTCATTCACACGCGATTCGGCTTTCATGCAGAAAAAAGTGTGCATATAAATGAATATAAAGAGAAAAAGAGGGCGCACCCATCACCATCTGGCGTCCTTCAATCGTGAAAACACAGACCAATATAAATAATCATCCTTATGAATACAACAATTTGTATCGTATGAGGAATCGACCATCGGAAGTGAAGCAGTGTGTTCAACCGCTAAACCACTGAGTTCGTCATACTATAATACATTCAATTTACTTATTATTGAAAATATATATGACAGGTATACAGATATAAAATTTTAAATCTACCAACAAATGTATTTATGATTAAAAAACAAGCAATAACTATAGAATAACCTTTTAACAATTGTTAGTAATTGAGGGTAGGTATAATTACATATTTTATTAAAGAAACAGCGAAACAAACAAAGAATCATTAAAAGCTGGAAATCTTACCGCCTCCAATTTTTTTCATCTCGTCATTCCTAAAGTACAGTTTGTAGGCTAGATTGGCTGCCTCACTGAGTCTAGGCAATAGTGGCTTACTCCAATCAGGTATGTCTAGACCCAAACCAACCTGAAAGTGGCATACAATTTATTACAGTTCATAGTACTAAAATAAATTTATATGTTTAATTATTATTAAGAAGATATGGTAAGAAACGGAGTAAATAACGAGATGACTTCGAACAGGGATGAATGGAGAAAATATATTGTGCAGACCTCAAATAAAAGTGTGTGAAAAGTGAAATTTGAGAATTTCAGTTACGTATACATCTATACATATAAATAAAATTAGAGTGTCTGTTCGTAATATTGAAAGAACCGTTTTTTACTACATGCCTATGAATATAAATACGGTACATATACCAAAAATCCACTTTTTACAATTTTTGTCTGTCTGACTGTCGTTTAGTTTGTTCTGGCTAATCTCTGAAATGGCGGGACCGATTTTGACGGGATTTTTTTTGACAGGTAGCTGATGTAATAAGGAGTAACTTAGGCTACTTTTATTTTAGAAAATTACAGTGAAATTCCACGCGGACGAAGTCGCGTGTACAATGTTGATGTTAGTTTCCTTATCGTATAAACAAATTCATTGAGTTTAAGTAGTTATTGTAGAAAATGTTAGATAGTTGAAACATCTTAAAGATGAAAATCAATATAGAGATTAGATTTCAGAATGGATCTGCCGATTAGGAACGTGTTATTAGTAAAGATTACATCTTAAGATAATTCAGATACCGCAATCAAGTGATCATAAATCTGCTTAGCTTGGTAAGCAGATTTATGATCACTAGACAACTGATATCAATAGATAAATATTTTCGTTTGTATGAATCACACATAATATATATAGAAAACACACAGACTGATACAAACAAACATATGAATATAAATGTTTGTACCGTGCGAGAAATCGAACCCGCGACCATCGGAAGTAAAGCGGTGTGCTAAACCGCTACACTACCATGGCCGTCAAATTATTATATCATGAGATATAATTCGACGCCTATGGTACAACACATCGCCGTTCTGAATGTCTAAGATGGCACCGTTGTACCTTATAAAGAATAATTAACTAAACAATTTATATCCACACAAGTTTGAGAAGTGGAGAAGAAGATAAGGCTGTATAAGAGGAAAGAAATTACCTGACTGTGAAAGAGATCGAACAGAGTTTCAAACAGCAGAATGTTTTCCGTGAAGTTGCGGCCAGTGCGCGCCTTCAGCATTGGTACCAAGTCATCGTACGCCGCAAACTCTTGATGTAGAGCATCTTGCTTTGCAGCAGCCATCAAGGTTTTAAACCTCTCGCAGTTGGAATAGTAGCGGAGCTGAAAGTAAAAAGTTTACATTGCAATGATAAGCACTTATACAACACTAGCTGCACTCCCGACTTCGTCTGCGTGGAATTTAACTTCATTTTTCTAAAATAAAAGTAGCCTAAGTTACTCCTGACTACATCATGTACCTGCCACAAAAAGTCCCGTCAAAATCGGTCTAGGCATTTCAGAGGTTAATCGGAACAAACAGACAGAGAGTCAAAAATTTTAAAAAATGTTTTTTGGCGTATATACCGTGTATATATTCATATGCATGTAGTAAAAAACTATTATTTCAATGAACTCTAACAAAAAACACTACAATTTTAATTATGTGTATAGATAGTAGTCAAAATTTGACCATAATTAATGTAAATTATATGTTTGAACATTATTAAGGTTCTTTTGTCAAAGACTTTCCTAATATATATATACTTCTACCTTCTTATTTTCGTCAAATGAGGAAGCGACTGCTTCCTCTTCCTATATTTCTCTTTTCCCATCTTTTATTTCTTTTCCTCTTCAAAATAATTGTTCTCAAATGCGATTATCTTTGTGAACAATTATATTTAAATTACCATTTACCACGATGCCAACTGACCTGACTTCGTGCTCATTTTATCATCCCCCACTGGTGCCCAGCCAGAGTAAACCTTTAGCGCAGGCGGGTACACCATTCCATTATCAACCATAAAAAAACTTTGTCTCTCTGTCTTGTGACGTAGAAGTTGCACGGGTCAAACATTCCAGTCAAAGATAAATCATTCCAAAACAAAAACGAACATTGTGTATGTTTGTTTCAGCTTTGTCATCATTACTTTGTTTGTATGGGTTTAATTGTTATTATTTCTTGTCATTATGAACTCATAAATTGACTTACTGCTATCAGTTTCGATTAAAAGTTCAACTCGTTATATAACCGGATCGATGCAGACCTTTATGATGTAATATTCATTACGTACCAGTTGGACTACTAAAACGGTCACTTTTGGTGATTTGCTTTTATGACTGAGTGGCCTTGGTGTTAGCGGTTCAGTATACCGTCTTACTTTCAACAATCACACCCACGTATCACACCCACGATTGTAGAAAGTAAGACTGAAATATGCGATTGTTTGTTTATCTATATGTTTTTTACATATTATTTCTTATTTTCGAACTATTCTAATGCTGTTGGCCACAGCTGGCCTTTACAGGTTCTCCCAACGATAGGGAGCACATGCAGATGGCACTTCAAACCCGTGGAAGGTCTTATGGAGTGCATGAAGGCCAACTCCTGCCTGACTGATACGATTTTAGTCTGAGAACACTGCTAGGGTTTCGAATCTCAGCTCAGGCCATTTTAATTTCGAACCCTGTTTCTAAATATATTATATATTATTTCTATCAGTACTTTAGTACCCATAGTATAAGCTTAATAGCTTAGTGCTAGTTTCAAATTAAGCAGAGCTGAGCTTGTAGTATGGGAGCCAAAAACTAAATAATAATAATATAAATTTAAGTCTTTAGCTCTAATAATAATACATAGACCGATACAAATAATCAAATTGATAAACATAATATTTGGATTGTATGAGAGTCCAATTCGCTACCATCGAAAGTAAGACCATGTGCTAATAAACATTGTAAAGACTCATTAGAAATGATAATCCATAATTTAGTCAACAGGAAACATATGGAGGATTCTCAAACAATGCCACTTATCTGAAGAGCAATTAAAGATAATCGTGTTCCCCTTACAATGTTGCTAAAGTGACGATTTTAGACTCGCTGATCTTACAATGTTATTACGTGAAGGTTATAGCGTAAATCGTATTATAATATTTTTATAGTGGCAATCAAAGTTTATTATCGTTAACTGAATATATAATTTTATATATAACTAACACCCTCCCCTGGCTTTGCACGGGTAATATTATTGTAGGTACACTAGGGTTGCAAACGCCAAATTAAAAAAAAACAGAAATTGAAATTGAATATCCAAGACAGATGAGTTTAAAAACAGGACACAGTAATATTTAATTAATTAAATTATAATTAACTATTAATAGTTAAATTAGCATAACTGTGACCGTGTATTTAGTATTTTGATCCTAATGAATTAGTGTTAGTTGGTAGTTTGTATTCATACATACATATGTCGATATAAAAGTGTAAAGTTACAACAATTGTTTGAAAGAGCAACACGCAAGTTTCTTGTTCATAGTTCTCGAGATGAGAGATCGATTGAAAAATATGTATGACTATTCAAAAGTGCTTAAAGTCTTGGACTTGGACCTCAATTCAAAGACCCTAAGAGGCCGAACACCAACATGGCATGTAGAGCCTTGTATTACGGAGCTACTTCTAAATGCATTACAATAGTCTACAACATAACTGAATTGTAGAATGCAAGTGGGACAGAATAGTGCGGCTCTGCTCTAAACACCGTTTTCCCAAGTAGAAATGAGCCCTAAAATTTAAGTAAAGTTGAAATAAAAAAAATCTTTCTTATTGTCTTCTGTTCTAATATTTGTAACGAGCGAGGAATCGAACGCGCGACTATCAAAAGTAAATCTGTGAACTAAGAAATCGAATCCGCGGCCATTAGAAATAAGCTCGTGAACCAAACCGCTACGCCATCGAGGCCGTCCAATTCGTGAAAAAGATCCTTAACCTCATTTGACGATAAAACCTGAGGTCATGCTTATATTCAGAAGATTATTATTATTCTAATTTATTATTGAACGAGACAGTTTGAAAAGTGCAATGTACCTAAACAAAGTCAAGGGTATCTAACAAGTATCTAGTGCTATTGCTGCACAAAACTTCTTGCTATTCGAAATAAAGACAATTTTTTAAGAAATTGAATGGCAAAGAAGCTAACTGACTGACAGAATAACGCAATGCTATAAATATCCACCGAAAACCTCGGACGCAGCTGGTTAATCGTCATTGCAAAATGGAAGACGTCTTACTATGGAGCAAAAACATAATTACAGAATTATGGATAAATTATAAATCTTAAATGTTAGACACATTTAAGATTTATAATTTATCCATAACTCTAGATCAAATTTTACATAGACAGATAGAATTTTAGATCAAAGTAACCTGACATGAATAATATGTGGAAAGAGATGCGAAAGAGTGAACAAAAATTGTTAAATGCAATCCCTCAAGATTGAGAGCGCTAGCTTTCCCGCGCTAGCTCGATAGCTAACTTAATACCTGATGGCATTCTACCAGTCAACCGTCGCGCTGATCAGTGATAATAAGGCGGTGCATTTTAAAAATAAATGCATTATAAAAAAAAAAACAAAAAAAAAAGATAAATACGGAAAAATAATATCTATATATATAAAAATGAATTGCTGTTCGTTAGTCTCGCTAAAACTCGAGAACGGCTGAACCGATTTGGAAAATTTTAATCTTGAAATATTCGTGGAAGTCCAGGGAAGTTTTAAACGGTTATAAAATATGAAGAAATTGCATGGAAAATAGTGAAAACAACACTTATATTTCCCCGTATTTTCCATACAAACAGCTGATACCTGTCAAACAGGGTGCATTCAGAAATTTATTGTTTAACTAAACTTCGAAAAACGTTTGACATATTTAATTTCGAGGCGCAACGGAGTTCGCGGGATCAGCTAGTATATTATATAAATCATTTTAGCTCAGGACGGAAATGTGAGATATAGTCATACTTATGAAGACTGAATATGAAGCGAATGCAATTACTATTAGTTAAGATTATAGATACCAATGTATATGTTGTATAAAGTCATCTATTGAGTCGAACTTACGTAGTCTTCAGACAGTGGTACAGCGGTGTAGGGTACTGGTTGCCAAACCTTGCCGACACCTTCATCCCATTGCTGCTCCACTTCAGGTGGGTAGACAGCCGCCATAGCGACTTGCGCAGTCATCTTCGTCCGTTCCTTATCAGTACTCCTCACTAATATCTCATCAGGAATGTACAGGTTAGATAACAGGTTCTGTCCCTGTGACCCGTAGCGTTGACGAATGAATTTACCTATCTGGTATGCCCTTCGTTTTCCTATCTGAAAATAACAAAAATTAAAACATTTATATATCGTTTTTTTTTTATTGGGTTGTTTGGGCTATTGTCAGATGTGTAGCACCTGTAGCACTGCGACCTACGTAGATCTATTGTGCTCGCCCTTTTCAGAGTTCGTTACCTAGACCCGTCAGGGACAAGAATTGAAGGATATTCTTAGGAGCGATTGTTTTTATCTCCTCGGGAAAGAATGTAAACTTTCCAAAGGAGATATTTCTTTTATGCATGAGTGGGCTACAACCACATAGGATGTGAAGCGGCGTTTCCTCTTCAGTTTGGCAGAATCTGCAGATACTTGTCGTGCATAGGCCTAGGTTAGCCATATGCTTGTTTAATTTGCGGTGTCCTGTGAGGGCCCTAGTCATCATGCCTATGTTGTTTTTACTCAATAGCAGTAGTCTATTGGATTATTTGGTCGAGAAGCTCGATATTAGGTCTTTTGAATGTGTTAATCCTGGCATTTCTTGCCAATGATTCAGTGCTTCTCGTTTGGTTATTATTTTGAGATGTCCCAGTTTTAGGCAACGAGCCACAGAAGGGTTCGGGGCCCAGTTGGATGGTTTTTGCCCCTAACTTTGCCAGATGGTCGGCATATATATCGTTACTAATATTATAAATTCGAATGTTAGTCTGTCTATCTATCTGTTTGTCTGTCTCGATTTCACGCCAAAACTACTGAATCAATTTAAATGGAATTTGGTACTGAAATATAGTAATTTTTAAGGCTATATAAAAGCTTGTAAGATCTTATTTATTTTTTAAGCTTTTTTTATTAGTTATATTTATTAAATATTTTTTCTTTATTTGGTCAATGTCACTATAATATGCGGACGAAGTCGCCAGCACAGCTATTATTTTCTAAATGTCTGTTACAGATTCTTATTCACGTCTTAAGTTAGGTTTTAAGTCTACTTTAAATGTATTTCTGTGAGTTTTTAAATAACCTGCCCTATAAGTCTTAAATCCAGCCCAGAAGTTGTTGCCAGGGCAAAGGGATTCGCCCCGAGAACCAAACCTTGACCCCTAGCGGCCATCGGAAATAAAGCGCTGTATTAAACCGTTAGACCACCGAGACCGTTAAATTAAATTAATAAATAACTTAATTAATTTGTGAATATTTAAATATTCACATTTCAATGATTTCCTAATGGTGTGGTTAGCTTTCTGTTAGATATGCGTAGTGAAACGTACACTGGTTCGTATCCCACTGGTTTATTATATGACAGCCTGATGATGGGCGCAGCCGCACTGGTGTACCAACATATCTAACACTTTCCTTAGCTAAGAAAAAGTCCATGTTAATTTGACAATATATTCCGTGAAAATTATATACTAATTACTTCAGCCCTTTTTACGCGAAACTCTAACACAACAAGAGACAAACACACAGTTTCAGCTTGGTTACAATTTTACTATGTGTAAACAAAAACATAATACAGATGATATATATTTTTTTTATTATAATGATGGTTTATAATACTCACTAAATAGGGAGAAGGTATGGTTTAGAAATGTGGACTAATGACCTCATGATTAGCAATGTACCATGTCAGGTCGACCTCCACGCTGTTCCCTCTAGTGGTAAATTCCTGGTGAATTTATCACAATGCGCTAACTGACCTGACCTCATGTCGTCTTATCATTCACAAAAAAAATAGCCACGAAATATTGAGAGCTCAAATTCAAAACACAATCGTTATAAATATTCCATTACTATTACTACTATCATATACTATATATATATATATACATATATATATCTACTATATACTACGTACATGATTATTCTTTTTTGAATTTATTTATGTGGTGGTTTTAAATTAACTTTTAATTAACATTTCTTACATTATTGTAAGAAATGTTGATAATAATAACAATCTCAGGACAATTCACACAATAGACCCAAGTTAAGATAGATAACGCTTGTGTTATAGGTACTAGATAACTGATATATATTTTTTTCGTAAATACATACATAATGTACATAGAAAACACCCAGACCGATACAAACAATCACACTCATTGAATACAAATGTTTGTATCGTGCGAGGAATCGAACCCGCGACTATACTAAGGCGGTGTGCTAAATCTCTACACCACTGAGGTCGTCTCAATTGATACTTGTGTAATGAATATATCTTTATATACTATACAATGAAGTTTATGAAAGATGATATGATAAGAAAGGGCGTAATTAAGGAGATGACTGCGAACAGGGATGAATGGAAGAGAAGAGAACCTATTATGCCGACCATAAATAAATGGGATAAGGAAGAAGCAGATGATGATGATGATGATGATGATGATAATGAGTATTCAATGAAGTCGCTTCCGCTATCATTCACTTACATCTTTTAAAATACTCAACAGATTTTAATACAGTTTTCAGCAACAGATCAGTGATTTAAGCGGAAGGTTTACATGTATGATATATACATATTATAGTACAGATAGGCTGACATAAAATTGCTGGTGAAACCGCGGGCACAGCTAGTATCTTTATACTTTTTTTTTATTGGGTTGTTTGGGCTATGGTCAGGTGCATGGACCTGTAGCACTGCGACATACATAGATCTATTGTGCTCGCCTTTTTTAAAGTTCGCTACCTAGACCTGTCAGGGACAAGAATTGAAGAATATTCTTAGAAGATATTGTTTTTATCTCCTTAGGAAAGAGTGTGAACTTTCCAAAGGAGATATTTCGTTTATGCATGAGTGGGCTACAAGTACATAGGATGTGTAGTGGCGTTTCCTCTTCAGTTTGGCAAAATCTGCAGATTTTTGTTGCGCATATATCTTTATACTTACATTAGTTAACGATTCCAGTCCATCTACATCTGTTAGGTTTCTGAGTTTCTCTTTAATATTCGACAGCGACAGTTCATCAGCGTCCGGTGTCCTCTCGCCATGTCTGTTCACCTGTAAAGTTATTGGACTTTAAATAATTTGAACTGTGAAATTCATATTTTTTTAACTAAAATGGCAAATAAGTTGGTCGCTTGCCAGATTACAATGGCTAATGTTATCAATACATATAAATAATATTGGAGTGTCTGTTTATAATATTGAAATAATAGTAGTTTTTTACTTTTTTACAATTTTTATCTGTCTGTCTGTTTGTTCCGGCAAATCTCTGAAATAGCTGGACCGATTTTGGCGGCCCTTTTTTCGGCAGGTCTTTTTGGCAGGACTGATGTAATAAGTTGTAACTTAAAGCTACTTTTATTTTCGAAAGATAAAGTTAAATTTCACTCGGACGAAGTCGCGTGTACAGCTAGTTTTATATATAAACTAGTGGACGCCAATAGTCGAAATTCGACTATAATTAATTTAAAATATAGTTCTGTTTTACATTCAGTAAAACTACAGATAAAGAACATTAAAAGACATACAATATTCATCTATTCTCAATTTGACATATGCGTGTGTGGCTAAGTACAAGTATATCTGCTTATTTTTTTTTATAAAATAATAGTATTTTGCACTCTTTTCTTGCTCGTTCTTCTTATGATGGGACAGCTTTCCGAATGAGCGGTAGATTAAAAAAATGTAATGACTATTCAAAAGTACTTCAATGTAAGTTTATTTGAATAAATGATTTTCTATTCTATTCTATTCTATTCTATTCTATTCTTCTTTATATATATACTATAAGTATGCAAAATTTCATACATCAAAATTTTATACATCCTCCATGTGCACAATATTCATAAACAGAATGGACATTAAAAAGCTGAAGGATTGGTTTACGACTGAAACTGTACCAATTTTTCAAATATTTCATATTTGAAAAAGAAGACATCACAGAAGACCGAAGAGCTGGCAGCTACCTTGGACAAAGAATTAGTCTAGCTATTCAAAGAGGGAACGCTGCCAGTATCTTCGGAACGTTGCCTAAAGGGACCTCTTTTAATAATATATTTTAGTCATCATATTATATATTTTTTTTAAGCTTTTTAATTAGGTTCTTAGTTGTACAATTAGGTTATGTAAATACTAGTAATAAATTTACTTTATTTCATATTTGATATGCGGCTGGATAAATATATTATGAAGATTTTTACTTTGAAACTACCCACAGTATTGACCTATTCAATTCTGGGGGAGAAAGATTGCTAGTCATGTGGAATAATAACCCCATTGTTAGCAATAGTGCATTGCTAACATTGGGGTTAGCCAGGTGGACCGTCACGCGTTTCCATGGAAACCATCATGATAAATTCCTGGATATTTTATTAGGATGCGCTGACTGATATGATCTCATGCTCATCTTGTCATCCTCCACTTGTGCCCCGCCAGTGCGTCCGGTCAGTGCAGGCAAGTGCATCATGAGACAAACTTTCGAAGGGAGGGCACAGCTTGATGTATTTTGATACATCTTGCTCGATAAAGTATCCACCAAGCAGAAAACCACAGCCAAATAGTACTTACTGTGTTCCTGTGGTGTGTAAGGTGACCAGAGCCCCGTGGGGACTGGTTGTGCTGGTATTCTGTGTGTTCAACTGCCGCGGGATTGCATCGTGGTGGCGCAGCGTTGTGCTAACCGCTGGCCGCCCGCAGGTTGTTGGGTTCCCGAACCCAGGGATTACTTAATCTCCGCCCTGGGAGGCTGAACCACCGCCTGCGCATAATCCCTGGTGTAGTTCGTGCCGGAGAAGGAGACCGGAGTGGACCCGGCTGCTACACCAGTACCGGGGGCCCTTCCGGCCGCTGTTGCCAAACCTGTGCAATACTGGGGTACATTGACACATACTTTGTCCTTTCTAATGCCGGCGCGATAATTTTCAACCTTTACCCAAATGGCCAGAAAAAGAAAAGGAAATTAAATCAGCGGCACCCCTATCCACTATTAATATGGATTTCTTTTACACGGAAACATCAATGCGGTCCACCATCATTCGAGACCGCCAAGCCGACCCTTTGTTCCTTACGGAGACACAGATATCCTGTCCGGCTGATACGTCGTATACGTATCCCGGGTATACACTTGAGCACAAATTTTTCGAGCTGGGGTATGTTTGTATGTCCGGGAGGATATTTGTTGTCGCCGCCTTCTTGGCCTAGAAAAAAAGACCTGTCAGTACTATGGGTAAGATCAGGGTGAGTACACCGGTATCTACGCATGCCTATACATCATAGCGGTGACGAGGACACGACTCGTCTGTTTGAGCACCTTCAAATCACGTCTGATAAAGTTCTCGAGCAATATCCCTCCGCGAATTTAGTGATACTTGGAGACTTTAATGCCCATCACACCGAGTGGCTCCGGTCTCGAATCACTGACCATGCGGGGAGAACTGCTCACGAGTTTGCCCTGGCCTATGGATTCTCACAACTGGTTCATTCTCCAACGAGAATACCAGATATCGAGACCCCGAGCTCCTTACTGGACCTTTTACAGGTCCGGACGAATATTCAGTCACCGTGGAAGCGCCTCTTGGTTCTTCGGATCACTGTCTTATTCGATCCCAAGTACAGAGCACACAACCTGCCACACACCGAACACCTGGTCGACGTCGCATGTGGCATTATAAGTCAGCAGATTGGGACAGATTGCGAGAATTTTACGCGTCGTACCCATGGAAGCAGCACTGCTTTGCATCAGAAGACGTCGATACCTGTACAGCCGCCGTTACTGAAGTCATACTTGCGGGTATGGAATGTTTCATTCCAAATCTGCTTGTTGCTTCAGGGGCGAAAAAGCGACCGTGGTTTAATAGGTCATGCAGAGAAGCCAGACAGGCTAAAGAAACTGCTTATCAGGCTTGGACCACGGCTCGTTCCAACAGGGATGTTGGCGTATCTGATGCGAGGCGGAATTTAAATGCTGCGTCCAGGTTTAGTAAAAGAGTAATTGCTAGAGCCAAATTCGACTTCGTCAGCAAAATTGGGGAGCGATTAGCCCGTCATCCTTCTGGAAGTCGAGCCTTTTGGTCCCTTGCTAAGGCTGCCGAAGGTAATTTTAGTCAGTCGTCCTTACCACCACTACGGAAGCCGGATGATATTGGCACATAGTGCAAAAGAGAAGGCCGATTTGTTGTGCGCTCTTTTTGCCTCAAATTCGACTTTAGACGCTGGGAACACCATACCTACTACCATCCCATGGTGTGGTAACTCTATGCCGGAAATATCCGTAACACAACGGAGTGTCCGGCGAGAGTTGCTGTCTCTCGACGTCAACAAGTCGAACGGGCCAGACGGCATACCGGCTTTGGTGCTAAAGAAGTGTGCTCCTGAGTTGTGTCCCGTACTCACGCGCCTCTTTGCGCTTTATGAAAGCGCGAAATGGCGCGTGCTCCTCTGGGCAATTTCCGTCGTCATGGAAGACCACCCTTGTGCACCCTGTGCCAAAAAAGGGCGACAGGTCAAACCCATGGAACTACAGGCCTATCGCTATCGCATCTTTGCTCTCCAAGGTGATGGAGCGTGTAATTAATACACAGCTCCTCAGATACCTAGAAGATTACGATTTATTGAGCGATCGTCAATATGGCTTTCGCCATAATCGCTCAACTGGTGATCTTTTAGTGTATCTCACACACCGCTGGGCTCTTGCCATCGAGAGCAAGGGTGAGGCGTTGGCAGTCAGCCTTGATATGGCGAAGGCATTCGATCGGGTTTGGCATCAAGGTCTCCTATCGAAATTGCCCTCATACGGAATACCAGAGGGATTATGCAAATGGGTCGCTAGTTTTTTGTCTGGCAGATGCATCAAAACCGTGGTCGACGGTAGTTGCTCCAATAGCATGGACATTAACGCTGGCGTCCCGCAAGGCTCTGTTCTCTCCCCGACACTGTTTTTGCTGCATATTAATGATTTGTTAACTACGGTTGACATTCATTGCTATGCGGATGACAGTACTGGGGACGCGTCTTACACGGGCCGTGCGAACATCCCTCTTTCCGTTGTGGAGTCAAAGCGCGAACAGCTTGTGTTTGAAATCGAGAGTACTCTCACCAGAGTCTCCGATTGGGGGCGATTGAACTTAGTTCAATTCAACCCTACCAAGACACAAGCCTGCGCGTTCACCGCTAAGAAAACCCCTTTTGCTGTGGCTCTATTCCAGAACACGTCCATTACCATCTCTAAGAGCATTGGGATTCTCGGTGTCGACATCTCTAGCACAGTTGAGTTCCGTAGTCATCTCGAAGAAAAGGTCAAGCTGGCGTCCAAGAAGCTCGGTGTGCTGAATAGAGCGAGGCGGTACTTCACTGCGAACCAGAGACTTCTATTGTATAAGTCGCAAGTTCGGCCGCACATGGAGTACTGCTCTCATCTTTGGGCAGGAGCACCTGGATACCAGCTCGGTCCTTTTGACTCGGTTCAGAGACGTGCTATGAGAATTGTCGATGATCCCAATCTCTCTAACGGTATCGAACCACTTAGCTTGAGGCGAGACTTCGCATCGCTTTGTGTGTTCTACCGAATATACAATGGACTGTGTTCTGATGAATTGTTTGACATGATGCCTACGGCTACCTTTTACCATCGCACCACTCGCCATCGACAGGGAATTCATCCCCACACGCTGGAACCTAAGTGGTCTCGTACAGTGCGGTTTCAGAGGAGCTTCCTCCCGCGTACACTTAGATTGTGGAATGAACTACCTGCCGAGCTCGAGAAAATCGAGAGACTACAGCATGGGGGTTTTCAAGAAGGGTATATTAAGGTTTCTTAAGGGTCGGCAACGCGCATGTGACACCCCTGGTGTTTCAGGCGTCCATAGGCCACGGTAGCCGTTTACCATCAGATGGGCCGTATGCTTGTTTGCCACCTAAGTGGTATAAAAAAAAAAAAAAACTTCTTAACAGTTCATGGATTCACCGTGCGGGTGCCAGATCCATCCGGGACTGGAGACCAGGGTGTAGATTTAATATATACCTATACCTAACTCTTAAAACCTGTGTATTATTTGTTT